CTAGTGTCGTACGGCCCGTTGCGGATTTCGACAAAGTCATGGTTCGGCTCAGTGGAGAAATTTAGAAACTGGATGTGAGCACCTGGGGAGGAAGAACAAGCAGTCTGCCTCTGAAGCTATACACAGGCCTTAGCACATCAGCACTATTCATGCGATGACCAAAATAGGCCGGTCAACTAATAAGGGTACATTGATCCTGTTGAAGATAGGAGTACCTATAGGTATACAGGTCCAGCTAGTTTCAAACAAGCTCGGGCTACATGGTTTTTCATGCTGCTGGAGTTCCTGTGCGCTCCTCTCCCTCTGCCTGACACCAGAGAAATTAGGAAGGAAAGCACGGCGCTACTTGGCCCAACTTCTTGCTAATCTGTGTGTAGCCAGCCCAGCCACCAGGCTACACTGAGCCAGGTGTTTTGTTGCACCAGTAGCACACTGCAGATGCGCAGCTACACCAGCGGGAAGAGAGTTAATTCAAGAAACCCAGGGAGTTCTTCCAGGTGCGTGTACTTTTATCTATCAGCAAACAACCTCCTGGCAATCAAGCACCCCGACGGGGCCAGCCCGGAGAAGAGCTGCGCTGGAGGCATCCACACTTCTCTCTCATTAAGGGCTGGGAAGATCCTAACTTCAGAAGTGCCAGCGCCTGCACAAGCTCTAGCTGAGACAGGATATTGCCTGACACAATCTCTGGTCACTGTTTACATTTATAAGGGATGAAGCAACTGTCACTCCCAGTGACAAGTGATGTTTTAAGGCTACTACAAATGTGAATAGTCCAAGTTGGGGAGCTACACAAGCACACTAATAGAGGATGTTAAAACTGGTTCGGAGGCATGCCCGTCAATCTGAATCAACCTGTTACATTCCACAGTGACCTGCAGTTACCTTTAATAAAATATTTATGCATCCTGGCAGGCAATGCATTCAGCACAGACCCTTTACTGATTGAACAGGGTTGTAATCTTCCTATCATCTATTTTATGATAGCATCAAAGCAAAATCAGCTGTCTCACCAAAACCCACTGGCAGCAATATCCTCCATGTGCAGTCCAGGTTGCTTGGATAGTTTCCTGGGAACCCTGGGCTCAGGAGTACTCCCTCCATCTCTTCCACTGTTCCTCCGCACTGGGCTGAAAAATCAACAGCGTTTATGGTAAGCATCACTTGCAGTGACAACAAACAAGTTAAAAACTTGAGGAAAAGAAAAGCTTGCAATGGAACTAGTACAAAGTTTGCCAGGCACTGCTCTGGCCCCATGACTAACGCACGTGCCTTTCTCCTGCCCTCTGGAGCTCAAAAGCCTTGATCTAGAGATCCAATTTTGACCACCAGAGCAGGAGCGACAGATCTAAGCTGCTAAGATACAAGAGGAGAGATGGCTGATCTATTCTGTCCATTGACACTGTAGCAATGCAGATAGTGCACGTGGCAATTGTTTGAATTTTTAACTACCACAAAGATTACTGTGAAGGAACAGACTGATCTTTTTATTTTGACTCCAGTAACCTCTACTTCTTTTTCCGGTTAACTGTTCTACCTTGACTGCTCTACTTGTCAACCTCTGGGCAATTACTGATAAACATAGAACAGCGTGTTTGCACACCGACTGAAGTAAATTCCCTACAAAGAAGCGATCCACAGACAACATAGCACAAAAAACGTTTACAAAAGGTATCACACAAAACTTAAACACAGATAGCATCTCCTCAGGCTTATCTGGATGACCTCTACGTTGTTACTGGAGGTAATACATTGCTACAGAATACAGCTGCTCATACTCCTAACATGTTCTGACAGCGAAGGTACAGATTCCCTCTGTCCGATATCTCATTAGGCATATACTTGCTACTAACGAGGCTCTTCCCCGAAGTTCTCTCTTTCTTCTTCCTCTTAATGGGTCTTTAATATAACTCCTCCTAAATTATTTAGGAGCCAAGCATCTGGATGAAATAGACCAGAATAAAATCAGCGCAATTCGCCAGGAACACGGGATGTTCTCCGAGCAGGGGAGCAAATGAAACTTGGGCTCCTGTGCAGCAGGACGCGAGTCAGCGGTGGTGTGGACAACGTTTAGACACGTTTGTATAAAATTAGCACAAAACCGGTCCCAAGACTGCTAGTAACCCCACAGCTTCCGCAAAAAGACGGTCACTCACAACGATGCAGCTGTGCAGAGGTGTTTATGCTTTTCTGAAGTTCTAAGACTTTTTTTCAGTCCAGACAAAAGATGCGGACACACAGGTGGATGGGTGTTTGTACCCCTGCACTTGTCACAGCTGTCCAAAATCAGATAATCTGAACTAAGTTCCACCAGTATTTACACCGTGACAGTGCCTAGGAGGCTCAGCTCACCAGGCAAAACCCTACTGAACTAGGTACCCAATTGAAAAAGAAAGAAGAAAACCTGAAACTTGGGAGTTGCTCTTCTGGTCATCAACCCCCAGGGCACCTTCAGCACAATACTGAGACTCCCTCTCTGTGCTGGAATTCCCTAACTCTGATGCTGGTTTCTTTCAGAACAAACACTGCCGGCATGAGTCCTTTAGCTCAGTCATTTCTGCTGTAACTATCTCCGTATTTATTGCTGGCCTTCAGATCGTCGGATAAGAGAGTCGTTAGCTCTTATAATTACTTTAAAGCAAAATGATGTAAGCTAGAACAGCAGGAGCCTGAAATAACCATTAACTAAAGCTATTAAATGCATAAACATCTCTCTCAAAGCTGTAAAATGTGGAATATGGATATTAAACATCTAGATTTGCTTAAAGCAAAATATTGCCTGAAAATAAAGTTGCCCTCACACCTGCGTCTCTCCTGGGGTTTTACTCCTTCCCTGGTGGAAATCAGCCGCCCAGTTCCTCTCTCCCATAGCCCGACATGCTCAGCAGCCTTAGCCCTTCTCCTAAGTGCGGGTCACAGGCAAACAGCTGTCTTGACAAGCGACCTGGCTCTTACTGCTCACCCAGGTCCTGTTAGACACCACAGTGAGGATAGCAAAGCACCAAGTTGTGCAGTTCAGAGTTATTGTTAGGAAATCAGGCTCCAGGAAAAAGTGCAGTTTCTGTGACATCAAGACGCATTTCAAAAAACAGTTCAGGGAACTTTGCCTAAGATGGTAAGAAAACCTCAACCAATAAAAAATAGTCTGTTCTCAATATAAAGGAGTTTTAGCTCTCCCTTGTAAATGAATTTTTGTTGAGGAAATCTTTTTTGCGTTTACATTTTACACTGCAGCCAAATTTTAAGCATTCAAAATAAAGCATTCTGGTTAGCCCACTATGACTGTCATTGAAATTTCCTTGGCAAGTAAAGGAGGATGTTTTCACGCGCTATCTCGCTTTTAGAATGAACCTGCATTTCTCCAACTCACTTTCTTTGCAAACAGAACTCGTGTCCTTGCTGCAGCTTCAGCAACCCTCTTGCTATAGGCCAGGTGCAAAAAGGACCCATCTGAAAGTGAACCTACTGCACCGTGCCCCTGGCTGCTGGGCTGCCATACCACTACCAAGATAAAATCACCAACTGCAGCATACCTTGGTTTATAACAGTCAATTTTAAAGCACCATTATATCTCTAGTTCCGATATGGGAAAAGAGACCAAGAACTGGAGTGCATCGGGGCACACTAGAAGATGGATGAGGTGAAGAAAACTCCCAGAGGTCCTGCAGTAAACGATGTGACTGGCTCAGTCTGGGCAATTAAGTTTTCCCCATTTCATTAGCAGCTAATTCACACAGATTTTTTAAAAGGTGCTATAAATATCTGCCAGCTAAGAAAGAGCAAGAATCCTACCGATGCAAAGTGGAGGTGGGTAATTCCAGCGGCGGACAGTCCCCGGCATACAGGAAATGTGAGAGTGCCCCTGAAGGAGAAAGAAAATAAGACAGACTTTTGAGTCTCCCTCTTCCCCAGGCACTTGTTCTTCTCTTTTTTAACTGGAAAATATTCAGTACCTGAAGCGCGTAGCCTGGTTCACACTGGAAAGAGACAACATCGTTCACTAAATACCGCTCTCCAATCTTCAGGCCATTCCCAGGAATGGGGGGCTCTGGGCAGCTGGACAGGCCAACAGCTGGGAAAAGAAGAGCAGGATGAACACGCCAGGGAGAGGACGGCCTGTACTCTGAAGGCAGAAAGAACGAAAATCCACACCTGCAGTTCACCCTGGCCTCTACTGGCTACCAACAACCTCCGCCACAGACATCAGGCAGGAAAGGCCTGTGGCCTTTCGGTTCTCCATAGGAAGCCAACCTAAACCACTCTGTATTCCCCTGTATTTTACAGGATGCATCAAGACTCTGGAGGTTTTCACATCTAGCGCCTCCGCTTTACCTGGAACACACTGTTTTTAACATACAAAGGTATCATCACATGTTGTTTTGTGATTCATGGGCAAAAACGTTTTTGATTGAACCTTAATGACTCGATAGAAGAGCTGTGTCTGTGACATTACGTCCATTCGCAAAGCAAAGACCGTCTCGTTCCCACACGTTCACAAATCAAAACGCATGCCACTAACTCTCCCCATAAGAGGTTTGCATTCAGGTTATCTTGTATATTCCTTTACCAGTCAGGCAATAGCTGATAATAAAAGAATAGAAAGTATGCAAGAGGGAACTACCCTTGATGTCCCTTGCTATATGAACTCCATTTTACTTGAGTTATGCTTGCAATATAAAGGACATATTTTGCTGTATGTAATTTGTCCTTTTTGGGTGGAAGCAGCACAGTTCCACTCCGCTACCCTACTCTCCCTGTTTTCAATTACAGCATGAATTTATCGCGTGATATAAAAGCAGCAGTGAGAGAGGTCAGTCTTTGGCAGCGCCTAGAGAAAAGCCTACAAAAATTTCATTCAAACCCATTTCCATCCGAGCTACAATTGCAACTAGGAAGATCCTGCTACAAACCCAATGAACAGCCCCAAAAGTCACGTGCCAGGTGACTCCCCTTTATACGCATGCCACCCCCTTCTCCTTCTGCAACACCAAAAGGAGATAAAAATGGAAACAGCCGCTGTCTGCCGTCACCTCGCACCCACTGCAGCTCAGCTGTCTGCCAGAGCCTCCCTCACTCTCAATGCTAGCAGCTGCCACTGAAAGATAACCTTCTGCATCCTTGCAAGGGCTCGCGCTCTGCTTAAACTCGACAGTCTGGAGGCTGAGCCACAGGCAGATGGAAAAAAAGAAATAAGAGAGAGTGATGGTGAATTTCCTTCTGAAATCCAAGTCATGCTTCCTAGCAAAAAACATGTAGTTTCTCCCCACGTATGGCTGTATTGCTTGACCTTCAGAGAGATGAGAGAGAGAGAAAACAGCTTTAAATAATTTCCCATTCAGATCAGTGGTCACTGAGTTGCACTCAGTCCTAAATTCTTCTCGCTCTGCTGTGGCTTTTGAACATGTAGAGATAAGAGCTGTTCCCCGAGGAATCCAATAAGGGAGAAAGTGGGGGAGGAAACGTACTTTAGTGTTTTAGCTCATCTCTTGCAACTTCCCTTGCAGCATTCTCTAACTAAGCAGGGACAAAACGCGGTGCTCAGAGCTGTGAAATTCCAGTTGGACAAGCAAAGCAAAAACAAGCAATTATTTCGAGCTGCCCTGGAATCAACACTTACTAATTTTCCCAGCAAAGAAAGCAAACAAACCAGGCAAGCCCAAGACCTAAGAAAACCTGAGGGTGATTATTGCAGTGGGGTAATTTGATCATCCAAAAACTCGTCAATTGCAACAGAAATGCAAAAGAAACAAAGTCACAGCAAGCGGATTTATTCAACGGCACCCACCTCCCCAGTTTCCAGAGAGCGCACTGGGGCACACTTCCTCTCTCAAATCTTCTTGGTTGCCACGATTTTGTCCGAGCCATTAACATGCAATGGTTGCGGACCACAAACACAGTAAAACCTGGAAAGCTTAGTACTGGTTGGCCCTCTGGAAACACACACAGCCCCTTCAGTCAAAGAGCTAAGCCATGTTCGTGGACATTTTACAAAATGAAATGCACTTTCAAATCTATTTGCTGCTTTGGAAAACATAAACAGGACGCTGGCTGGCTTCAGAGACAAAGACAAGATTTGTGATCAGAAGCAACTGTCAGACTCTGTGTCCGGCAAGAAACAATTATGTTTGCATCGCCCCAAGGAAGACTGCATGAACAGAGACAGCAGTCTCAGCACATCCCCCAGCAGCTCAGTGCCACCGCTACCAGCGCGGGAAAGGAGCCAGGCCATCTCTGTGCATTACCAGCCCTCTGAGAGCTGCACGGAGACCAGCCGAGCTCCCTGCCCTGTCGCACCTCTATCTGTAACACACTGCAAATGCACAAGTCTGCTTGCTTTCCCGACTGCTAGCTAAACATTAAATCAAGATGCAGAGAATAAGCTGAGAGCTGCCACACCGCACCATCTTGCTTGTATGCCACCTGTGCCACTGCTGCACTGAGGGTAGAGAATAATTCAAATCCTCAGCGCTGTGCCATCTGAGGCAACAGCCACCAACCACTGTGACCCGCTGCGGCTTGGCTATGGCATACCCTTCCCGAACGGGCAACACCTGCTCAAATGGGAGGAGTCAAATACCGACACAAGTGAGAATGAATTTTGGACGTCCTAATCCAAACCTTACAGCCCTGTCTGTGCGTGTCTTCCAGTTTCAACCAGGTTTGTCGTCTTGCCCCTGATCTCTCTCTTTCTGTTTTTTAGTATTTTTCCTTATATCCGTGATGATCTCAGGTCTGGATATCCAAGAACTAGACTCATCCTTGCATCAGACCTGCTGGAAGCAAAGCGCTGCCGTTCTGTTAGGATGTCAGTATAATCTGTAACTGATGAACTCACTAAACTTTCCAACACAATAGAGGGCAAGACAGGAGCGGGTGGTCCCTGTGTCAGGCAGTGCTTGCTGTGGAATATGATCTCCTAGCTTCATTTAGCTCAGGCCAATATGCCTCCCTGAGTTGCAGAAGGCAACGCCAAGTGTCTTCCATACCTGTTATGTTTACCTGCACCATCACTGCCCCGCCAACATGTACCATGTCACTTTGTAAAGCGTATCAGGCCAACGCAGATGGGATAAAACGGGTGCTGCCAAAAGCCTAGGCTTGTTTCTTCTGTTTCATTCCAAATAGCAACAGGTGCCATTGAAAAGCAACGTCCCCAGCAATTATTGCTGCAGTGCTGAATGACAGTCATGTCTGGAGGACAGCCATGCGCTCGAATCAATCACATACACAAGGGAAATGATGCTGTCCACCATCCGGACACTCTGCCTCTAAGCACAAAGCAGAGAGAGATACTATGCCAGCACGTAAGCTGACCAGGAGCCAGCAGCGTGCCCTGGCAGTAAAGCCAGCTAACAGCGTCTTGGGCTGCATGAACAGGAGCCCAGGCAGTAGTTGGAGGGAGGTGATTACCCCTCTCTGCTCAGCACTCCTTAGACAGCACCCAGAACGTTGCATCTAGTTTTGGGCCCCCTTGATAACGAGGGGCAAGTTCAGCAGAGGGCCACCAGGTTGGTCAAGGGGTTGGAGCACTTATCCTATGAGGAAAGGTTGCCCCAGAGCATTTATGCTATCTCCACCCTTGGAGTTTTTCCAAGAGCGGACAGGATAAAGCCCTGACAATCTAATTTTATCTCATAGCTGACCCTGCTTTGAGCAGGAAGTTGGGCTTCATGACCTCATGAGGCCCCTTTTGCCTTGAATTATCCTATGATCTTAGAAGGGTCTGTACAGCCCTTTAGTATGCTCTCTCCAGCAGTGACCAATACTGAATGTCTAGGAAAGAGCGCAAAGAACAGGCAGACCCCAACTGCTGGCAAGGACCGTTATAGGCACTTCCTGAGCTGAGCTTACAGCACTGTGTTGAACAGGCCAACCCTCCATGAATTTTTAACACTTCAGCCTGCACAACTCTTGCTGCATCACAACAGCAGAACTAAACAGATACTACAAAGTGCCTCAGCAACAAGATGAGGGTCACAGTACAATCCCACACCTCCTTTGCTAAAGCCATTCTCCGTGTAGGCTCATTCCCTCTCTGCAGAACAGGGAATGACGTACGTATGGGCCGTAACCCTCACTGACCCCTGTCCACCCCACACAGCTTCCACTTCCACGAGGCAATGGCACTGCACCCATTTTCCCATCGCCCAGAGGAACTGTGAGATCAAGGCTGGACTGCTCTTACTTTTGTACTCCAGGTGAAAGCCTGCAGCAGAGACACTGATATCCGAATAGAAATGCAGATAGAGCTGGTTTGAAGTGCTGTTCAGCAACGCAGGCACTGTAGTTCCTGGGAAAACAAGAGGTGCACAAAGATACTGAAGAGGAGGATTCTTTTTTCCTCCTCTGTCTTCAGAGACTTGCTGCAGAAGAGGCTGAGAGCAGAAAGTCCTTTAACTGAACAAGCTCGGCTGGTTTTGATCACATTCTAATGAGGCCAATACAGAAATACCCAGTGTCTCTCTGCAACGAGAGGCAAAGTCTGATGATGAATTTCATCATGTGAAGTCTTAACACTTACAGCGCAGACAGGCTGAAGCACTGGGAAGGGAAACTGGTGATGGGAAACAGCATGGGTGAATCTCGAGTCCCTCGAGAGGGCCAGGCTTTGTTCCGCCTGGTCCCCTAGAAGCTCTTGCAGCAGCAGGTCAAAGCAGGTCTATCTGAAATGCAGCTCTGGAAGCAGAGTCTGCCCGTCTTTACACATGACCTTTTCTCCTTACCAGTACCTCCAAGCACTTTGAACACATCTGCTCATTAAATAATCAAGAATTTGGGACATCTGTTTGCAAGTGGCTGTGCTATTTGAGAGGTTTACAATGCTCTTGGGTTGCTTGCTACTCCTTGCTCTGCTGGATGCTACAGTCTCCACAGCTGAGCAGGAGAAAAGGTTGTAGCCCTTCATCCACTTTGGTGCGAATCAGCCAGGTGAGGTCTACCTGCCAGTGCCCTGGTCTGAGCTAACCCTAAGCCAGCAGAGCTGTGGGAACGGTGACTTCCAGGCTGTAGAAGCGTTTGTGTGCCAGAGCAGCTTAGGAGAACACCAGAGTACTGCACCACTAGGGAGATGGATAAAGTGAAAGAGAAAAGGCTCATCTGTAGCACGTTTTCCATCTACGTACCGGTGAAGCTGAAAATGCTAAAGAGGAGGTTAGAGCAAGTTTGCGTGACAGAAGTAAAACTGTCTGAGAGCTACACGCACTAGCATTTGTCTCACTGCTGCTGCAAGAGCTCAAAGGTGATGACGATTTCCAACACGGGTGTGCGTTAGGAAGACTAAAAGACCTCTCCAAGGTCACAAAGAACAGGGCAAGTCTCATCCAAGAGGTGAGGCAAGTAGCTACTCTAGTCTCTGGTACCACAGTCCTTTCTTGCCTTTAAGCAGCTAGTTTTTGTAACTGCAGCTTCCTGTCCAAAAAAACCCAAACCTAACCAGCAGGTGCTGTGCTTAAGGCTCACTACTCCCATTTTCTGCAGGCAGAGAGCAGTCAAACTCCCAATTCAATAAAACATATGATTCCCTTTAAGCACATACTTAAACGTATTCCTAGTTTGTGAAGCACTTGAGCATGTGCTTAACTTTATGTACGTGCTGCAGTGCAGCTGATGTTAACAGGAATTCAGCACGCACAGACGGACTTCAGGGAATGTGAGACTGAATACGTACCAGAGAAACTTCCCAGCATGGTGGCGGTGTTATCCCCTCCATCAAACACTTCCAGGGAATCCCAGTTCTGCTCAGTAACAAAACTGATCACCTGAATCTGAAGTGGTAACAGAAGAGGGGGAAAGAAAAGAAAAGGCAACAGTGCAACTCCCGAAATCATGCTAATAAACCAAAATAATACCAATAACAGGGCCATTAATTAAGACACTCTCTTCTCCTGCGGCTTTAACTCATTCAGGACTGCTATTATATCAGTGCTGATGCACTGGCAAAAAGTGGAGACCTATTGGCTCTGATTATCAGCATTCGGGTTTTACAGCTACTTTAAAGCAAACTCCATGCTCCAAACTTCTGTTATGGCTTCTGCTACCACAAACAGGCAGAGATCTTGTAATTCCATAGTTAATTTACAGCAACAGAGAATCTCGGTCTTCCCCCCCCCCCCCCGTTTTGGGAAATCCCTAAAGACTTGCAATACTTCCATAAGCCAACCCAAGAGATAAAGTAAAAAAACAAAGAACATCCCACTAAACCACAAGATTTTTAAAAATAATATTCTGGATTTTTGAAGCAATGAAGCTCTTTAGAACTGGCTTACTTCTCAGCTTTTAGCCAAATCACTCAAGTTGCATTTTCATGTTTTCCCCACTTTCTCTGCCATGCCCCAAAAGCTTTAGAGGCTTATGGAAGTCACTTGACTCCAGCAGTGGGAACTTACAGGCAATTCTGAAATGAGTAGTATCATGAGAGCCAATAAATCTGCATTCACACTGAGAAGCAGCTCTTATACTTGAACAAAGATACCATATGTAATTGCAAAGTAGATTTGCTTTCTTTGATTACCATTAAAATGGATTCTGCCTTTATTTCTAAGTACCAGGAGTTCAAAGCTTTCAATGTCCCATTAAGAAAAATAAGCTGCACTGTAGATCAAATTTGGTGAACAGCCTAAGGGAGTTGGACAGCAAACTTGAGAGGAAGCGACAGTATTTGGAAAAAATCAGCTTTAATCTATAAGCCTTAGATAAAATTTTCAAACATTGGGTACTCATATTACATTTCTAAGTCAAGAGCCTTTTAAAAAAGGGGGAAGGGGGGAGAGGGGGAAGGAGGATCCTTAAAACAAGTCAGGAGCCTAAGTGACTTGCAGAAGCTGACCCTACACAAAAGGCTTAATCCCCTGGAACGCTGCAGTGGCGGCTCCATTCCCCAGGTGTTTGGCACCATTACTGGCCGGGTCTGAGGAGAAAGCTGCAACTTTGGTAATTCTGGCAGGTACATTTCCATTTACTTCCAGCCTTCATGTACCTGCTTATTGGAGTGCCTCAGTTCTTTGAGGTCTCTTTGGACAAAGATTTCCTACCAAACCTAATGCTTCTGATCTGAAGCAGTCCTGTTGAATTCAACAGGATTACTCCCCCAAGCGCAGAGCTCAGCAGGACACGTTTGCTGGACTGAACACTTTGAAGAGACTTCCATGCACTGCAAATCTTGACTGCATGCATGCGCGTGCACGCACACACACTCTTCCCTTCTCTCTGGGAATTCTATGAAAAAAACACTTCACTTTCCCTGCAAAGTTCTTATTCTGTGTTTACACATCCATTCCAAATAGCTATCCTGCTTTGCCCTGCCAAACATAAAATAAAATACACGCACATAAAAAACAAATCACAAACCATTATTTCCGGGCATTTTAACCTTTTTCCTCCTTGATTTATTCTGAATAACTAAGCAGGCTATAAAGTTCCTGCAAAGTTTTTTTCTCCCCAAAAAAATAAGCGGAGTTCCTCTAGCAGAAATTGTAATGACCCCTGCAGAGCCATTACTGATCACACTGACCAAGTCGATACCTTTCAGCCTGCATAATTACACCCCTATTGTGATTTACATTATTGAAAGAGAACGGGGCTTGAGAATGCGGATTTTGTTTGCTTTTACATTTTTTAAATTATTTATTCCCTCCCCCTCCAACTTAAGGGAATAAACATTTTTAAGGTTCTAATTCTAGTCTGACATGTGGATTCACAAGGGATCTGCATCTATTTACTGCCATGTATATAAATTAATTCACTCAGGAAGGTTTGCTACAGGAATGAATAATTCATGGCAGAAGTGCTAGCTGGTACATTGATTACATAAAAATCCTGCTACTGACTTGCCGCTACTAAGAAAGCTTTAATTTCACCTCCTCCTCTGATTTACAGTTGTTTAACCTTTAATTGTTGTACAAAATGAGGGTAAACTGATGCTTAAATTAGTATCTAATAATTCAGAACATTTTGCACACAAAAGGGAGCGACGGGGAAATGGCAGGCGCCGGGCGGGTGACCCGGGCGAGGGGCAGGCCCCGCGCGCTGCCTTCTCCGCACCCCAGCCCTACGTCCCCGAGG